AACTTGTTATGAATACAACATCTTGTTGTTCAACGGAAAACTGATCCTCCGTCCATCAGGCAGGTGAGGAGGCTGGCTCCTCTTCAGTGAAAAATGGGATAGGTTTTGTTGGAGCAGGCAGGCGGCCAATGCTGTCAACTTTATCCTTCAGTTTGGGAGGAGGCCTAGCTGGTTTTGGCAGCAACCTACCCTTCTTTTCAAACCACTCAGGCTTGAGCAGAGCTCTCAAACCCAATTTGTTATAGTGTACTCTCCTCACAGTTCCACCTGCAGCTTCAACTGCTTCCTTTGCTCTAACAGTCACCCTTGACACCTGTAAACTTCAACTGTAAGACCAACTTTTTTGTGTTGGATCCAGAAAGGTAATACATGCATAATGACTAAATCAATACTTAGATGTTCCAATCACATCCAAGAGCATCTTTTAAAGCACTATGAAAACAGTAGTAAGCACCTTCAAAGCTAGAAGTCATTTACCTATCCGAAAAATATAAAAAGATAATGCTAGATGAGATTTAGATCATCAGAGAGCCTGAATTATAAATACATTAGATGACATTCACTTCTTTTTATTATTCTAGACTGACATAAGTTAAATCCAAAACAGGCAGAGAAGAAGTAACAATGATCTCTTCTCTATATAACAGTCAAGTCAGTATAACAAGAAGAAAGCTTTCAGAAGAATATTTTACCTCCAGATGAATTGGCCACTTAATCTGTTCAGCACCACGTCCCATCAACCTTACACCATCCTCTATCTGTTTCCCTATGGCCCCAGCATCCTACATAACAGCAATAATCAGTGTTAATAATTTTCCATGAATATTGATTTAATTTGAATATCAGAGTAAGAGTTAATTGTACCTTAAGAGTCTTCATTGTGATCAATTCGTGAGAATCTATCTTCCCAGCATTTATAAGTTTGGCAATCTTTCCCAGTCCTACTGGCTGCCAGAAAAAGAATACATGAGTAATTTAAAAGTAAAGGAAAAAAACTCAACTTAAAAAAAAAAAATTAAGACTATAATAATAAATCTTCAAGAACACATGCTCTCAACTCAATGAACATCAATGCAAGAAGCAATTCTCCATACCAAAAACTAGAGGAAGCAAAAATCCCAACTTATTCACTCCTTTCAAAAGTTGAGTGAGAATATTTAAACAGGATAAAATCCTCCATGGTCAAGACTCTTCAAACCTACAATAAAATTTATTAACATCACCCACAGGATAGCTTGTTGATACCACATCTGAGATATCAGATGGCCACAATTATAAAAGTAGATTTCCTTTAGAATTTCAAATACATTGGCTCTTCTATACATGAGTTTCCACAACGATTAAAAAAATTAAAACAATAACCCTGAAGAAACAACAGCTCCTAAGATGATTTTACAAAAATTAAAACCAATAACCCAATATTCAGCAGCAATGAAAGACCAAAACTCAAAAAGTGCAAGCTACAAGAATAGCATTCTCTTTCCTTTCTAACTACCACTAGCATAAGTCAACATGCAATTGTATCTGAGCTGCAGATTAATAGAGTAAAAAAATCCTGGTCCAGAAGATTCAATTTGATCTTGTAGCTGAATAGCAGTAGTGTCACAAGCAACAACAGGATAATTGCGTTGTTTTCTGCTCTTACACTTTTTCCAAAAAAAAGGAAGGCAAAAAACTTGCATTTCACTCACAATTCACAAGTTACCAATCAAATAGGAAAGTCCAACATTTATACACAATTTTGTTTGCCATTGGCTATGTTGAATACAGCGCAAGCATGACTTATAAGTCATCGGAAAGTGGAGATTAATTCAAGACATAATTGACATACATGCTATAAACGAAAATTTTTAGGAAGTTTCACCCAGTTTCTAATTTCCCTAGCATTTCCATTTCTGTTCAAAAATCTCCTTTTTCTCATGAACCAAACAAAGAGAGAACTTACAAGAAGAAAATGAATTACCCAAAGGCCCAAATCTACAGGGTGAAAAAGAAATTCAAAGGAAACAAAACAGCAAGAAGAGCATCCCTCCAAAGTTCCAAACTATCTAAACAAACTTAAGAAAAGGGTACCTGAAAAGTGAGACTAAAAGGGTTCTTAAACCCGCGTTTAGGTAAACGCCGTCGCATAGGGGTCTGCCCTCCTTCAAATCCCAACTTGCCAGTACCTCTAGCCTTCTGTCCTTTATGTCCTCTCCCAGCAGTCTTTCCTTTGCCAGACCCAATTCCTCTCCCTTTCCTTGTCTTCTGTTTTCTTGGAACCTTGTCTCTCAGATCGTTCAAGCTCAAAAGACTATAAGCTCTAATACCCTGAAACCAAAATGACTCATTTTTTATAACGGGGCTGGAGCATCGGAGGGATTGGAAGGAATGGAAATGGAGGATTGGTGATGGGTTGCTGATGGGTTTGGTTTTGAGGAAGTGAGAGGAACCTGCGATTATTGGAGAGAGTCTTCGTCTTATCATTGTAAGTGATTAGGTTTTAGGGTTTTAATTGGATTGGGAATTTTTGTTCATTTGTTTGGGATCTAGGGTTTTGGGAAGGTTCTGCATTTGCTCTCCTGTCACTGGAGTTCCCTGCGTTAGACGAATAGAGACCAAACCTTGTGGGGTTTTGGGGTTATCATCTGCTGCTTTGTTCTTACGTTTTAGATTTGGTTAAACCAAATAATGGACTGCCACCTGTTCTCTAAGTTCTTAATCCAACATTTTTTTGCTTTATTTTATTTGATAGAGGCCAATAATTCCACTAATTTTGCAGGGAAAAACTAAAAGTGGAGATTTGTATAACCCTTGTTTTAATGGATTTAAGTAATGAATAAAAATTACTAACAAATGTCAGAAGAACAAGTTAGCAACCATATTTATTTATGATTTATGATCTTAATTATTCTATCTTTCGTGAGTTATTCATCATAAATCTCAAAAAATAAAATTATTCATGATAACTTTCACAGTAAATTTGTCAAAAATATTCCTAAATACAATTAACATTACAAATTTTTTTAAATTGTAATAATAAAAAAGGGATTTAGTAATATTTTGATCATTATTAAAAAAATAATTTTAAAAACATCCCATAATAATCTTAATATCAAACCCTTTTAGTCTCATAATATAATCCAAAAAAACTATTTTCTGATACAGTTCAGTCACCAAAAATGGTTAATCACCTAGAGGAGGCAAAGAAATGAAGTTGTAGCAGATTTTGATTTGGACACCAACTTCATATATGTAGTGACAAATTCAAGATTTTATATAAAAGGATAGTTAAAGGTTAATTATAAGGATAATTATGTTCTATATATCAAGTTTTATATATAATATTAAAGAAAATTAAAAATAAAGGAATAACAGGTGACTTTAGCTCTACCCGTGCATATATGTAAAGATATTAATGCTATTGTAAGTAAAAGCCTCAGACGGTTGGTTGTGTGCTCGTTAAAGGTGAAAAAAAAGGACAGAATGAAATTTAATGTTGTATTGATTTTTCTTAAGGTCGTTCCATGAACTGAGAACCATGCAGCTATGGTGGAGAGCTTTTGCAGTTAGCATTAGCCTTCTGGATGAGAACATGCGCAAGACAAAGTCTCATATGCACTCTCGCCAAGGACTTCACCAAGCACTCCGTGTAGCATGGAACCCGTGCATGGCATGTTGGCGAACAGGCGAAGCCCTTGAGGGAGAGTGAATGTGAAATGCCTTGTTTATACGACTCTCGGGTTGCTCGCCTCTCCTAGCTTGGGAGATGGATGGCTTGCTTATATAGCCTCAGGCTCAGCATTGCCCCACCTGCAGTGCAGCTTCAATCGTCCATATTTCCTGCAGCGCTGGCACCTCCCAATTTGCTAAAAACAGATTCTGATGATAAGAATAAGTTCTGCTTGCTTTGTTGGATTATTATCAGATATATCAAGCATCTTTCTAGCTACACTCTCTGGAAACTTGCTCATGACTAATGGCAATGCCCATATCCTTATCAAAGTAAAATTTTTCACGTGGCTTCTGCCTATGTATACTACTCCTATCAACAACTGTGACTCCTAATAATCATTGATTATTCACCACCACTAGGACTAATAATGGATGGTCATATTCATATCAATTGGTTTCATTCGCTTGACTTTGCATATTTAATGTGTTTGATCAACTGTCTCTCATTAACCCATGTGTACGTATTGAGTTTTGAAGGTTTTGAAATCAGATCAGTGAAGTAAATAAAACATATATACCCACCAATTACCAACTAGGCTGAACTACTAAAATTTTTTTACCTGTGTTTGTATCTGTTGATAGCGACTAGGTTGTCTCTTGAACGAACTTAAGAGGTAGGCCATGACAGGGAAAGTTTCTATTTTTTCCAAAAGGGGGAATATATTGGGAGTAGATATGAGAATCTTAATCTTTAGGTAGAACTTCATTATCCTAAGTTGACATTCCATTGAACCCAAAAATCGATATGCAAATTATAAGAACTAGAAAGGCACAGTAGATAGTCAATTTTTGTTAATATCTATTTTTAAAAAAAGTATTTTATCACGTAATATTATATAAAGAATAATGAGAATAATCATTATAAGTTAAGCACTACTTCACGCAAAATAATTAGAATAAGTAAAATATTATTCCATGTGAAACAATTAATACAAGTAGAATAATTATTTCGTACAAAATAATAATTTCACACAGATGACAGAAAAAGTAATCCAAAATAGATAGCAGGGTTCATGACTTACTTTCAAATTGAGATGTTTCGGAAACTTTGGCTTGGTGGCTCAGATATGGAGGTAGTTAAGAGGTTTCTCTTAACCTTTTTCTGAAGTACAAATATTTTTTGCTTTTTCCTTATTCTCTTATACTTGTTCATGTACAACCTTTGCTCTTGTTCCTGTTCATGTACAGCTCTCTCTCTTGTACCTATTCACGTACAACTTTTCTTTATTAACTCCTACTCAAAAACAAGTTTTATTAAATATAATTATTTCAATGGACACATAATAAATTTTTAACCGTTATTTAACATTAACTCTCAATAATTGTTACCTAACATTAAAACTTTTCTTAAATATATCATTTATTACGCGTATTAAAATTTTTTTTTGTAACTATTATTTTTGACACTATATATATAAAGTCTTCACAACTCAAAAGGGGAATTTTTTAAAACTACTGGACTCTGACTCGTAGCTTTTCTCCTTAACCTATTCTCACTCAAAACACTTATTCTTTTCTTATTTTCTTCCATCTGTCACAACATTTAGTACTTCAAAAACTGCTCCAATCTTCCTCTCCGTCAATTCCAGTACATCCCTTACTTGTTTGCAACGCTTTCTCTTCTCATCATAAGAACCCCATTTACAAGCACATATTTAGAATGATAGAAACATTTGGGACTGCCAACATATGGACGAAAAGCAACAGATCTTAGCCATTGAAGGAACCACAATCACTTCTAATCTCACCATTACTCCCTATCTTAACCCCTATCTTACTCATCTTGATCATAGCCTTGACAAAGTAATTAAAGAAAATTTGTTGATCTCTAGCCATGATATTCACATAAGGCCGCGTTAACGAATCTACACCCAGCATTTGATCCGTGGTTAACAAGCCGAGTCCCTTCTGAAGATTACCGAAATAAGCATTGTCGAAGATAAATGGTGTTGTTACATCATTAAGTGCAACAACAGTGGGATCAAGATTTTTCCTGGGGCATGGACCCCTAAGACTTAGCGCGTAATCTTGGTTCATGGTTGGGTCAATATCAAATGTCTCGTTGTAGCTATAGATTCTTGGCATGAACTCCCTGCAATGCGAGAAGCCTATGGTGTGGCCTCCTGATAAAGCCACCATGTCTAGTACTGATAATCCTTTGGACTTGAAGAGTGAGATCAACTGGGAAATTTTTTGGTTTGCCTGGGGGAGGTTTCCAGCAACTCTTGAAGCCTTGGAAACCAGCCCATCTCTTCTTCCCTTTTGCACTTCCCATCTTGGGCCTCCCACCTGTGCAATTCGAGACAAGTAGCTTCAGTTCATCTACAGTACAAAGCACGCGAACTATTATCCTAAATTGAATTTGATGCATGGACACACCAAACTGATTCAATTGTTGTTTAAATCCATAAAATCAATTTTATGAATGAGATATGATTAGAATGTTACCAGGTTAACCAAGTCCCTAGTGGCAATTGCCATAACATCTGCACAAGATGCTACTCCAGGGCATTGCAACTCCACAGCTCTTTTGGCTCGAAAGAACACATCGAAACCATCTCCTGGAAGCGATAGGTTAATTTCTGAATCCCTCTCTGCCTTGTTGTTCCTACTTGACGCAATCAATACTGATGCATCACAACCCTTACAAAGAATCAAAGAATTTGCGCAATCTAATCTATCAGAAGTTCATAAACCAAAAACAAAGAGAATGCAATGAACATTGAAAGGATAGTTACTACTACTACCTTCAAGAAATTACTATCTTGCATTCAATCAGGTACAACATCCAATGCGAAAATACTTTATATAGAAAAAAATAACACCTTACCTGCTCTTGAGTGGCTCTCAGCATTTGCCAGAATATAAAAGAGAAGCCAAAACATCAAACAAAGTATTTTGACATGAGGTGAAGAAGTTTATTATTGTTTTTTGGTTCAGCGCGCAAAAGTAGCAGTTCTATGCACTATTTCCAACTCGCTTTAGGAGGTGCCTTTCGGTGAAAAGTAGTGGAATTATCCACGGAGGGAAAATGTTAATTTAGATAAGACTAATGGTACCAGACTCTCACGTGCAATCGCATACAGAACAAGGAAAAGGAAGAAACATAGAATACACTAGCACCATATTTGCCTGCAAACTCCCCTTTCTTAGGAGTGTAAGACTCCTCTTTGCCTGATGTTCTGTTCTGGTTGCTTAGACAAAGTCATGTATTATGTATAGGTATGAAAAAACCCAACACATCACAGATATCTCGATTGAAACTAAAAGAAAAGAAAATTCTCTAAGCCGTAAGCATGCAATAGTAAATCTACTAACAACGTAGTCCTCAACCATATTGTTATTATTTGCACTGAATAGCTGATCGGCATTAATAAATTACATTAATTAAAAGATGGTGAAGACATTGAATGGCATATAGGACAAACCAACCTCAACGAAGCAATCATGGAAGAATATGCGTAGAGCTCCGGCGGCAGTAACAGGAGCCTCTAGAAGCTTCTGAGACACCACATTGTGGATGATTTGTTCGACATGCGGGCAGCTCTTGTTGTAAAAATCGTAGCTAAGATCCACTACATTTGTTGATCCAAGGCTACATGGAACCATAACAAAGTGCAAGAGGAAGTAAAAGAAGAAACCACGGCTAGGCAAAAGAAGAGATAATGGAGCTACGGCCATGAGTAAGAGTGGAATGAGAAGGCGATTCCTCTGTTCATGTACATATCGTAGCACTCATATAATGAGCAAGCATCGTGCATGCTGTTTTTTGGCTGCTGATGTTGTGGAAAAGAGGCCTACTTGAGACAAGAAGAAAAGCCAAAGAAGGGATCCTTGGGTTTCTTCAGATAAAAAGAGTCGGTTGTCATTTTTGAGTCTCTTTCTCTGTTTTGCATTTAAGCAATGCAGTTGAATTTTATATAGGATGCGCTTTTGTGCAAATTTAGTTGCCAACTGCTACAAATAGTAATAAGCCAACTTCAATTTATTTTATTACCAGGCCTTCTAAATCAAACCGACCAACAACCCCCTCCTCTCTCTCTCCCTACCATATTCCAAAAGTTTATCTAGGACAATATAGACACATCTACAAACATCAATTTGATTCTTTATGCAATTAATTGGAATTCAAATGAACTGATCAAAAGGCTGATGAAGGTTGTGTCTTGAACATGTAAAAAGCTTTGGGGGCTAGGACAAAGTTTGATCACATGCCAACTACCTATAGGACGCTAGGGTTTGTCCTGTTGTGGCTACTTGATATGATTTGGATTCCAGGGGAAGGTCGGAGGGAGATCGATATCACGGGAAGAATCAAGCTATGTCAGGCATATACTCAGAGTCTCGGAGGCAGAGCTTCCTTTACAAGTTATCATCAATGGTCTTCTGTACCAAATGTGAGAATACCACGCCCTATGCCTTCTATTGAACCAGAAACCAAAGTCTTGGAATCTTTTCCCCTTCTAATATGAAGAGAGGAATCTCTCTTCTTCTCGCTCTTATGGAGAACAATTATTGTTTACCTTTTTGGGGTCAGAAGCCCACATGTTCATCAAAACCAATAGTGGCTCACTGCCCTCTCCTCTTTTATATGGTCTTTGTTATCACTAGAGCCTTAAGCTTTGGGCTAACTTGGTTTGGGACTTTGGGCAATAGTCTAATGCTTTTTAAAAGAGATGGTACTTATTTTATTTTCTGTGGCAAACTATTTATAACAACAGATTTTCCTTCTGCTCAAGTGCCTTGGTTTCTAATACCCATTCCTTATTATTCCTGTATAAATCTCCATAAAGGGGAGACTCGTATCCTACAACGGCACCTATCTGCTATTAGTCCTACTACAATATTACTAGCAAAATTTGCTAAATAAAGCAAATAGAGATCAGGGTCTAAGCTATATTACCCTATTTTTCATGTCAAGCAAAAGAATTTTGAGGTGGAGTAGATAAGTTTCTAAATCTCTGTATATTATGATGACACGAAATATTCTGATTTCCCAGGGCCTGAAATGACCTGTAAATGTCCTGGGGGTGATCTGTCATGGTTCCCAGCCTTCACCAACTTTTATTGGTAGCAGGATGCCACATCATAGTAACTTAAAACAGCTGATCCATTTATTTAAAAAAATGGTTATGAAATCCCAAGAGCTTTGATGTTATAAAAAAAAGTGGATGTGAATGTGAATGAAGTCATATTGATTCTATTTCCAGAAGATGACAGTGTTGCCCTTTGATCCATAATGTGCATTTCCCATTATGTCTGCGGGTTATTCATTGTAGACTGCTGTCAGACTGGAGGGAAATTGAATCAATTGGAGGTACTGCCCCAATATACTTACTATGGATGGAAAACCCTTTATCTGCCTTTTTAAGGACCCAAGCCAATAAAGGAGAAGTGGCAATTAGGTCTGATCCATTACTAGAAACCTTTAATCTAAACCAACTTTATAAAGTCAGAAACCAGTGGGGAACCCTAAACAACCTTTTTGCCTTCTGCCTTTTGCCTTTCGCCATAGACATGAATTAGCTTAGATAGATAGCCATACATCTCCATATCCCATATAGTTTATTCTAGGTGCCATCTTTCATAGCTTCCAAGTGACAGCACAAGAAAGATTGCTCAAAGTTTCAATGGAAGGCAATTCCACAAGTCTCTTTCTAGCATACCAAATGGGCACTTGCTCTGCAAGTCAAGACCCTTTAATAATTGAGGTAGTTTGTCTACCACCCTCTCTTTATCTTTTATATTATTATTATTATTATATATTCACTTTTTCTGCTATGGAAACTACGAACACATGGGGCAATCCCCATGTATCTTTCACTGCATCCCTCAGATTTTCCTAGTCCAAAGCTTATGAATATCTGTTTGCTTGCACTCCAATAATTAATTTGTTGCCCTAATCCACTCAATGCTTAAACCTTACACCTAATGCCCAGTTGGATTGTCAAATCCAAGCATCAGTTGTTCAAATTCTTTTTTCTTAAAGTGCTAAATATTATGGGAGTAATTCTAATTATACTTAAAATGACAACGAAAGAATTGAAAATTTGAATGAATTTCAGCGATGAAAGCATCATTATCCAAACTTAGAACAAGTATAAGTATGAGATTGGGTAATATCCACTCATGTTAAAAAGGCAGTCCCACTGTTTCATCCGCATGGTATGAATGATTTCGTCTCATTACTTTCAGTGCTACCTGCAATGTAATCTATACTGGATTTGAAGCACAGAAAGGAAAATAAAATATTGTTAAGCATGCATGTTATGCACCAAGTTCTTCAAAGTTTTAATTTATAGTTTTATATTGATGAGCATATAAAAAAACCAATGAAAAATGCACCGACCTAATAACGATGTTTGAACAATAAAATAACACTGGGCTGCTAAATTTCAACGAGGACTAATTATTGGTATTGCTTAGTTAATGAAATGTTTGACTAATCCTTCTCCCTACTTATAAACTTCTCCCTAGTTGGGTCACAAACTCTATGCGTTTGTAGCATGTCTGTATTCCAAAATATTCCAAAGGAGTAAGGCCAAAACATAATCTAATTGCCTAATCACCTTTAATTAAAGGTAAATCCAAAACGAGAATCTTGATTCCTAAACTCCATATTTAACTTAAGAGGAGATTAGCCTTCGACAAACATGGGACTGCATTTTCATATGAACCACAACCATATGATCCTTAATTAAGGCCAAAAAGGGGCCACGAAACTGATCGACAAAAGGAGTTGATCTTTGATTATTGACAAGAGATCATTTTGGGTAAAGACGACTCAGTTTCAAACAAATTGCTGTCTATTTAAATTCCTCTAAATATGTAAACCCATCAAATGCATCACATGATTGATGCAATCAAAATTTGGTTGTTTGACAATTGGCTGCATTAGATCATTCAGGCAGGGACAAAATACCATGTGGTTTCATTCGTTTCACGTCTTCTTTTTTTAAAGGGTCCATTGTGTTAAGGATAACATTAAGTGAAGATATCAGCTTCCGGACAATTACACATTTCTTGTGTAAATCTACCCACATGTCTGAAAATTTCCCTTCTGAGGGAAAGCAATCAACTGTTTTGATATATGAATATATATATATATATACACACACTCAAAATCGAATTTCAAACATATTTTGTAATGAAGTAAATCAAGCAACATTTTTTGACAACTATTGAAGTGACTTAATGACTTGTAAATAAATAATTGATGTGCATAATCTCCCAATCCCACTCTTTTGTGGTCTCCATCAAGTGGATGGCAACAATCCAACATTTAAGGGTTTTATTATGTTAGGTCCCAAATGATTATAAATTGAAGTTTACTTCTTGTTACATTGTTGCTAATCATGTAAATTTCCTGGCTATTTCTTAGGGACAGGGGACCTTCATCACACTTGGAAGACAATTAAGTAGCTCCAAATAGTAATCAATAACTACTAAAAGAAAAAAATAAAAAAAAAGGAACTTGTTTTGCCAAATACTAGTTGGAACTCAAGTCAATAATATTAAAGTTAATGCACTACCTACATTTAGATCTTATTTATACCCAATCAATGCATTTGCTTTGTATTTTTTTGCTAGATGCAGCAGGTGTGGAGGTGCTAAATACTTTACCTAGAAAGATGGCAAAACCAAAGGGAATATATAATCTTCACTTTTCAATCTTGTTTTCCTAGCATGTTTCTCTCAAGTCAAGTAAGGCTCATCCTAAATTAAAATTTGTGTATCCTTCAAACAAAGACAATGACCTTTCTTAAATAAATAAAAAAGAAATGCAACACAGAATTGCACTTCAATTTATTTGTGAAATTCAATAACCATTCTATTTTCAATAAAATGAAAGTATAGGATTTCAGAATAATGCATGGATTAATAAATTGGCCTCAAATAAAGGGAACAAAATAAAAATAAGGCATTCAAATTTCCTTAAATCCTATAACTATAATGCCTCCTTTTGTTTTACTCTGTACTTTCTTTTTGGGTTCCACGTGTACCAATAGTTAGTGCTTTGCTTCCGCCTAACCCGCCAAAGGGCAAACAGGAAAAATGAATGAATCGAGGGATGTGATTGGCTGATCTGGGTACGTCACACCGTGGGTCCCAAACGTCTGATTCCAATATTTGCAATTTTAGACAACAGAAAGCGGACAGTATCAATGCGTTACGTCTTAAGTAGCGAAACATTTGCCGGCTTTCTGGACAAGGTCTTAGCGTGCCGTTATCAACTGCTCTAGACTTCCACTACGTTTGATCCATCTTTGACCGTCACCGTTTTAAATCCAACGGTTGCGTTTGAAGCACCGCTAATTCCTTTGACTCCCTCCACGGATTTCTCTGTTCCAACCAAATT